AGACAGAGTATAGGCTATGTGGCCAAAGACTGCAAACCTCGCTCAAGGAGAAAGATCTTGGAGTGAGTATAACACCGAGCATGTCTCCGGAAGCACACATCAACCAGGTAACTGCTGCAGCATATGGGCACCTGGCAAGCCTGAGAACAGCGTTCCGATACCTTAATAAGGAATCGTTCAAGACACTATACACCGTGTACGTCAGGCCCATACTGGAGTATGCAGCACCTGTTTGGAACACGCACTTGATAAAGCACGTCATGAAACTAGAGAAAGTGCAAAGGTTTGCGACAAGATTAGTTCCAGAGCTAAGGGGAATGTCTTATGAAGAAAGGCTAAGGGAAATCAGCCTGACGACACTAGAGGACAGGAGGGTCAAGGGAGACATGATAACGACATATAAAATACTGCGCGGAATAGACAAGGTGGACAAAGACAAGATGTTCCAGGGAGGGGACACAGAAACAAGAGGCCACAATTGGAAGCTGAAGACAGATGAGTCAGAGAGATATTAGGAAGTATTTCTTCAGTCACTGAGTTGTCAGGCAGTGCAATAGCCTAGAAAGTGATGTAGTGGAGGCAGGAACCATACATAGTTTTAAGACGAGGTTTGATAAAGCTTATGGAGCAAAATCTGAATAATTTATTTTTTTTCTGACCATGTTTTTCTGTCCCTTTAAGTGAAGAAATACATCAAGCCGAGGGGATTAATGATGGAGGAAAAGTTGAGAATCCCTAGTCTAGATAATAACTTCTAGTACAGGGAGCTTCCTCAATAACTCTTGTTGTCAAGGAACCTAACTGATAGCAAACAGCCAGTACAGCAACATAGTACACTAACTGATAGCAAACAGCCAGTACAGCAACATAGTACACTAACTGATAGCAAACAGCCAGTACAGCAACATAGTACACTAACTGATAGCAAACAGCCAGTACAGCAACATAGTACACTGATAGTAAACAGCCAGTACAGCAACATAGTAGACTAACTGATAGTAAACAGCCAGCACAACAGCATAGTATACTAACTGATAGTAAACAGCCAGTACAACAACATAGTTGACTAACTGAGAGTAAAAAGCCAGTACAACAGCATAGTATACTAACTGATAGTAAACAGCCAGTACAACAACATAGTAGACTAACTGATAGTAAACAGCCAGTACAACAGCATAGTATACTAACTGATAGTAAACAGCCAGTACAACAACATAGTAGACTAACTGATAGTAAACAGCCAGTACAGCAACATAGTACACTATCAGTTAGTATTTATTTATTTATTTATTTATTTATTTATTTAATAATTTGAACATACAGAGGTACAAAAAAAAATACAGGTAAGAGCAGCATGCCAAAGCCACTTATATGCATAGCATTACGGGCTGGCTTACAATTAACTTAAGATTAACTAAGCAATGATGTAATCAGTGATAAAACATTATTGTAAACAGATAACAATAAAGCAAAAATGAGTATTACAAAGTCAGGTCATATGGTTGCATGCATTGCTGTACATTCAGTAGAATGGAGTATTCTGTTAGGTAGTGTATTTAAAAAATAACAAAGTTAGATTGGGTCCTAGGTTTAACATTTATGATATAATTGTGAGAAACATTTAAGATATACAATTTATAAGGTTCAGTTATTCAGTATTTATTTGGTTTTGAGTGAGTAAGTGAACTTTGAGAAGAGACTTGAATTTATAAACAGGTAGTGTTTCTTTTATATTTACAGGTAATGAATTCCAGATTTTAGGGCCTTTTATGTGCATTGAGTTTTTGCATAGCGTGAGATGGACACGAGGAACATCAAAGAGTGATCTGTGTCTTGTGTTATGGTCATGTGTTCTGTTGAGGTTGGCAAGGAGATGTTTCAGGGGAGGGTTAATATCAGAGTTAAGTGTTCTATGTATGTAATAGGTGCAGTAATAAGTATGGATGTTTTGTATGGTGAGTAGGTTTAGTGTTTTGAATATTGGTGGAGTGTGCTGCCTGTAGTGGGAATTTATTATCATTCTGACTGCAGCCTTTTGTTGGGTAATTAGTGGTCTGAGATGGTTAACTGTTGTTGAACCCCATGCACAAATTCCATAGATGAGATAGGGGTAAATAAGAGAGTGATATATGGCCAGGAGGGCTGACTGTGGAACATAGTACCGTATCTTCGATAGTATGCCTACGGTCTTGGAAATTTTCTTAGAAATTTGTTGTATATGTGTATGAAATTTGAGTCTATTATCAAGGTGGATTCCTAAGAATTTTCTCTCTGTTAGCTTTGTGATAGGTGATCCGTTTATCATTATGTTAAGAGGGACATCTGTAGCTCTGTTACCAAACAGAATGAAGTAGGTTTTGTCAATGTTTAGTGTAAGTTTGTTAGTCCTCATCCAGGTAGATATTTTCTGTAATTCGGTATTTACAGTATTGGCTAGCATGACTGGGCTCGGGTGAGAGAACACGTACGTAGTGTCATCTGCAAATAGTGTGGGTTTGAGTAATTGCGAAGCATTTGGTAGGTCATTTATGTATAGGAGAAAGAGAAGAGGGCCAAGGACACTTCCCTGTGGGACACCAACTGTAATTGGTTGTGCGGAAGAGTTTGACCCATTTGTGTACACATATTGGCTTCTGTTGCTGAGGTATGACTTTAGGTAGTTGAGGGAGTGCCCTCTTATACCATAGTGTGACAATTTTACGTGGAGCAAGTCATAGTCAACTGTATCAAAAGCTTTACGTAAGTCAATGAAGATCCCCAGTGGGACTTCTTTTTTCTCTATTGCAGTGTATATATATTCTAGCATGTGTATAATAGCATCATTAGTATTTTTATTAGGCCTGAATCCAAATTGAAAGGGGCTGAGTATGTTTTGGGAGATGAGGTAGGAGTAGATTCGTTTATGAATAATTTTTCGAAGATTTTTGAGAGAGGGTGTAAGTTGGATATTGGCCTATAGTGATAGTAAACAGCCAGTACAGGAACATAGTGCACTAACTGATAGTAAACAGCCAGTACAACAACATAGTAGACTAACTGATAGTAAACAGCCAGTACAACAACATAGTAGACTAACTGATAGTAAACAGCCAGTACAACAACATAGTAGACTAACTGATAGTAAACAGCCAGTACAACAACATAGTAGACTAACTGATAGTAAACAGCCAGTACAACAACATAGCATAATAACTGATAGTAAACAGCCAGTACAACAACATAGTATACTAACTGATAGCAAACAGCCAGTACAACAGCATAGTATACTGATAGTAAACAGCCAGTACAACAACATAGTAGACTAACTGATAGTAAACAGCCAGTATAACAACATAGTAGACTAACTGATAGTAAACAGCCAGTACAGCAACATAGTACACTATCAGTTAGTATACTAACTGATAGTAAACAGCCAGTACAACAACATAGTAGACTAACTGATAGTAAACAGCCAGTATAACAACATAGTACACTAACTGATAGTAAACAGCCAGTACAGCAACATAGTACACTATCAGTTAGTATACTAACTGATAGTAAACAGCCAGTACAACAACATAGTACACTATCAGTTAGTATACTAACTGATAGTAAACAGCCAGTACAGCAACATAGTACACTAACTGATAGTAAACAGCCAGTACAGCAACATAGTACACTAACTGATAGTAAACAGCCAGTACAGCAACATAGTACACTAACTGATAGTAAACAGCCAGTACAACAACATAGTACACTTTCAGTTAGTATACTAACTGACAGTAAACAACCAGTACAGCAACATAGTACACTAACTGATTTATTTATTTATTTATTTATTTATAATTTGAGCACACTTACAGAGGTACAAAAAAATACAGATAAGAGCAGCATGCCAAAGCCACTTATACTATGCATAGCATTACGGGCTGGCTTAAAATTAACTTAAGATTAACTAAGCAATGATGAAATCAGTGAAAAACATTAATGTAAACTGATTACTATAAAGCACAAGTGAGTATTACAAAGACAGGTCATATGGTTGCATGCATTGTTGTACATTCAGTAGAATGGAGTATTCTGTTTGGTAGTGTATTTAAAAAATAATAAAGTTAGATTGGGTTTTAGGTTTAACATTTATGTGATATAATTGTGAGAAACATTTAAGATATACAATTTATAAGGTTCAGTTATTCAGTATTTATTTGGTTTTGGGTGAGTAAGTGATCTTTGAGAAGAGACTTGAATTTATAAACAGGTAGTGTTTCTTTTATATTTTCAGGTAATGAATTCCAGATTTTAGGGCCTTTTATGTGCACTGAGTTTTTGCATAGCGTGAGATGGACACGAGGAATATCAAAGAGTGATCTGTGCCTTGTGTTATGGTCATGTGTTCTGTTGAGGTTGGCAAGGAGATGTTTGAGGGGAGGGTTAATATCAGAGTTGAGTGTTCTATGTATGTAATAGGTGCAGTAATAAGTATGGATGTTTTGTATGGTGAGTAGGTTGAGTGTATTGAATATTGGTGGAGTGTGCTGCCTGTAGTGAGAATTTGTTATCATTCTAACTGCAGCCTTTTGTTGGGTAATTAGTGGTCTGAGATGGTTACTTGTTGTTGAGCCCCATGCACAAATTCCATAGGTGAGATAGGGGTAAATAAGAGAGTGATATAGGGCCAGGAGGGCTGACTGTGGAGCATAGTACCGTATCTTCGATAGTATGCCTACAGTCTTGGAAATTTTCTTAGAAATTTGTTGTATATGTGTATGAAATTTGAGTCTATTATCAAGGTGGATTCCTAAGAATTTTCCCTCTGTTAGCTTTGTGATAGGTGATCCGTTTATCATTATGTTAAGAGGGACATCTGTAGCTCTGTTACCAAACTGAATGAAGTAGGTTTTGTCAATACTATAATCAATACTAAGCGCTAAACCCCACCAGGGTCATACAGCGCTGTCTAACTGACAGCACACAATCAGTATAGCTGCTTCCTCAGGACACTCACTGTAATACTTCTACAGATTCGCAAGGACGTGTACACTGCCGCAGTAACCAACATGCTGGTGGCCGTGGTGATATGTCTCGCTCTCTTCCCATACCAGGGCAAGTTCAGCCTCCATGAAATAACAGAGAAGAGTAAGTATCTCCTTACAAATTCGTACCAATAAGGGTATCTTCCTCAAAGTGCATCTCTGTAAGGTAAAAGGGCACAAGTGCAACTAATATGATATTTTATTGTGGCAGCGTTTCGCTCTCCAGGAGCTTTATCAAGTTCAGACGCAGAGTATTCCCCTCAAACCATATCACGGGTGGGGCTTGAACGCGGTCAGAGAGTTGTAAAACTCCAGACCTACTCTGACCGCGGGTTCAGGCCCCACCCGTGGTATGGCTTGTTTGCAATCATGTCACAACGATTTCGTGAGTCATTTCCCTCCAAGTTGAGACGCAGAGTATTCCCCTCAAAGTTGAGACAAAAAGTATTTCCCTCTAAATACAAGTCACAACGGAGTCAGTAAAGCAACAGCAAAGAACTACAGACCGATAGCGCTAACATCCCATATCATAAAAATCTTTGAAAGGGTTCTAAGAAGCAAGATCGCCACTCATTTAGATACCCATCAGTTACACAACCCAGGTCAACATGGGTTCAGAGCAGGTCGCTCCTGTCTGTCCCAACTATTGGACCACTATGACAATGTCCTGGATGCTCCAGGAGACAAACAAAACGCAGATGTAGTATACGCAAACTTTGCAAAAACCATGGTGTAATAATGTACAAAATGCGTCATAAAGAAATAAGAGGAAAAATTGGTAGATGAATCTAAAATTCCCTAACAAATAGAACACAAAGAGTAGTAGTACACAGAGTAAAGTCTGTGGCGGCTACGGTGAAAAGGTCTGTTCCACAAGGCACAGTACTCGCTCCTATCCTGTTCCTCATCCTCATATCTGACATAGAGAGGGATGTAAGCCACAGCACTGTGTCTTCCTTTGCAGATGACACCCGAATTTTCATGACAGTGTCCTCCGTTGAAGACTGCAAGACTCCAGGTGGACGTCAGCCAAATATTTAAATGGACTGCAGAAAACAATGTAAAGTTCAGTGATGAGAAATTTCAATTACTCCGATATGGAAAACGCGAGGAAATTAAAACTGTATCAGAGTATAAAACAAATTCCAACTACACAATAGAGCGAAAAACTACTGTAAAAGTCTGTCGATGCGAGAGCGGCCGATGAAGCTGCACAACAACAGGCAGTGTCAGGAAGGGCTGAGAAGGCGACCATTACAGGGTCCAATAGATTGTTGTTGTAGATTCCCCGGTACATTTGCCGGCCCGGATCTTTTCCAGGTGATGACTCGGTCTTTGTTAACAGTCACGGGAGTGTCTTGAAAGGGCATGCCAGCTGCGCAGCAGCTGGTGATGCGAGGGCGGTTGATGAAGCTGGAACCACACCCCAGATTCAGACAAAAACCAGAGCGCTGGGGAACTCAGCTTCCTGGTGACTGCTGAAAGCTTGCTAGTAGGCGGTAGCGTTCTTGCTATTTCTAAATTTCGTTCTTGATACATGGATAACTTTGATCTTGGTGTAGTCGTCCTCTAGAAACTCTGCGATGTTGTGTCGAGTATTTCTTCAGTACTGCATAGATGTTCAGGCTCGCCAGTGAACTTGACAGTTCCACCACGGAGTCGAGTGTGAAGTTCCTTGCAATGCATAGCTTCACTGTATTAGTCTGTTGTGTAGAACTTTATGCCATTCCATTTGGCGTGATTATAGGATAGATGTGGGCGGGTTTTTGCTCTGGCCGAGTTGTCATCTTGATGTGCTGGTGGTTGGGGAGTAGCGGTGGCTGTGTAAGTCGTTCGTGTGTTATCAGTGGTGGTGTTTGCAGCATAGGAGGGAAGCTGGGTTGAAGTCTTCTCGCTTCACACGGTGAGAGTAGAAACAGTGGGCGTGTTTCCTTACAACGATTGTCCTTGTTCACCCATCAGTAAAATGGGTACCTGGATGTTAGTCGACTGGTGTGGGTCGCATCCTGGGACGATATTAATCTAATTTGCCCGAAATGCATAACAAGCGAATTCTATACAGTAGTATGTCACTGACGTCAGCTATGGTCTGTATACCTTGTACATGTACTTGTAGAAATAAAAGATGTTATTATTATCATAATAACAGTTATTAGTTTCGACGCTATTTGCTCAGCTTTATTATTATTATTATTATTATTATTATTATTATTATTATTATTATTATTATTATTATTATTATTATTATTATTATTATTATTATTATTATTATATTAACTAAGGAGTTGGAACAGATTACCAGAAAAAAATCATAAAATTTCCTAAAGAATGCATGTAAAATCCAAATATGTTACAAAAAAAAAAAAATCCACTCTTGTCTCGCCATGTATAAACGTAAGTAACCATTCTACAGAATTCATTACCTTTGTAACTTGTGAGCTCATTACCTTTGTACCTAGTTCAGCTATCAAAACTTTGGGGGCCCAGTCCCTGGACCCATTACGTACCTCTGTAATCTGTAAATACCTTTGTAACTTGTCATGATTGTGACCAGACTTACCTGGAGTTCATTACCTTTGTAAATTGTGAGTTCATTACCTTTGTAAATTGTGAGTTCATTACCTTTGTAAATTGTGAGTTCATTACCTCTGTAACTTGCTCAGCTATCAAAACTTTGGAGTCCAGTCCCTGGACCAATTATGTACCTCTGTAATCTTTTGACTACCGCCCACAGGATGGGTATGGGGTGCATAATAAACATATTAAACTAACTTGTCTCGCCGGCAGCGCCTGGCTACTTCTTCGTCATCTCGTCGTTCGCTGTGAGTCACCAGAAGCTGCCACAGCTGGCAGGCTTCGTGTTGTACACAGGCGTGTGCGAGGCTTTGCTTCACTACACTAAGATGTTGGTCTCAACTGTAGTGGTCAGCGTGTCCGACCTGCTGCCGGTCAAATACAGGAGCGGGACCAGACTCTTCGCCTGCAAATGTTTTTTTTGTCTCCTAGGTTTCCTTATCAGTTTACCCTATATCAGTAAGGTGAGTTACGGCTTGGTAAAAATGTTTGTAGAATTTTCAGTTTGAATTTAGATGATGGCTCGCCAAGTCCCAAGAGCCTATGATTTGCTCTAGAAGTAATCAGGTCAGTTATGTGGAGGAAAATTTTTTAAACGATTTCATGTAAAATTAGACGCCTTTGGAGATACACAAGCTTAAAAAATCATGTAAAAATAAAATAGAGCTTATCAAGGTATCATACAGAAACCAAGAGCAGTGTGGAAATGAAAGGGAAATGGAAATGGAAATGGTATATTCTGAACTCTGTTGTTACTATGCGCTGTCTACCCGTCCCCAGCGACCTCTCCCTCATTATACTGATAAATCTCAGGAATGAAGCAACGGAAATTATCAGTCATAGATTAAACTTATCAGTCTTACAATCTGTTCTTAAATCTAATAGAACAATCACAGATCACGTTAGCCAGGAGGAAGTTAAGAACTAAACTTTAGTTAAGAATTAAGGCTCAGCATCCGGAAATTCATCTGATTAGATAATTACAAACAACTTCATGCACATTGCTCTCTCTGCTATCTAACCCACCCTGTGCGCTTTTCCTCAGAACGGAATTTTCCTGATGGAATCCGTGGATGCCTACGTACCCTGGGTGTGTGGCCTGGTGATGGGCACGCTCGAGGTGTTAGGATTCGTGTATATCTACGGTGCAGACAACATTAGTCGACACTTTAAACAGATGCAAAAGAGCCAGGTTCAATACTTTTGCTTAATCTGGAAGTTCCTGTTGTTACCATCATTCATGGTCAGTCCTCTCGCTCTGTTTATGATCTTACGCCCCATAATCCTAATAACTTTTTTTCAGGTATGGATACCACACAACTGCTGCATATTCCAATTTTTGGGCTAATGTAAGTTGAAAACTAATTTCTTAACATTTCACCATCCATATATTTGAAAGCTTGTTGTACTTTGTCAGTGCTGCATATCAGTTTCTCATAGTTTCATTTTTATGATTTTTAATAATTTTTTTTTATTAATAATTACTTTTTGATCCCTTCCTCTACCTGATGCTTTCAATACTTTGTCACAGTCTGCATTCTTCATGTGGCTTGATTTCACTGTCTCTCATTTTTATTACATTTACCTACTTTAAATTCCAACATACATCTGTTGTGTCCCGTGGCCTGGTAAACAACTCTCACCTCACATACTGAGTGTCCGTGGTTCGACCCCCGGCAAAGGTGGAGACATTAGGTGTGTTTCCTTACACTTGATGTCATTGAAACTAGCATGCAAGTAGGTGCCTGGGTGTTAGTCGACTAGTGTGGGTCTCATCCTCGAATGGAAATAAAACAAACAGTCCCTCGATGACGCACTGACTTTCTTGGGTTATCCTGGGTGGCTAACCCTCAGGGGTTAAAAATTCAAACCAAATCTTTTATCTTATCTGCCTAGTGTGTCCAGATCTTGTTAAGATTCACAGCAAATTTCATTATTAATTTTACATGAAATGTTTGCATCATCTGCAAATATGTTCATATAGATATGTATTCCTTCTGGTAAGTCATGTATATAAATTAGAAACATTACTGGGGCAAGTGCAGACCCTTGTGACACCCCACTTGTGACATCCACCCATGTAGACATTTCTCCTCTTATAACTATCTCATCTATTGTAATAATTTACCTTTAATTCCTCATATATTTTGTATTTTCTTAATTAGTCTTTCATGGGGAACTCTGTCAAAAACTTTATTTAAGTCTATCTGCCATTCATTTTTTTTCCTGGATAATGTCCATAACTCTGCAATAATAACACATCTGATATACATGAACGTGCGGACCAAAACCCATATTACTTACTAGTTAGTATGTTATTATTCTTTAAATGTTAAATCCATTTTTTCTAACGTTTTTTTGCAATAATTTTCTAACACGTCAGTGTAACCGCCTATAATTGAGAGGGTCTTCCCTGTTACCTTTATATACTTCTTTAATTATTTCATTATCTTCCAATTCACTTATCTATATGGAATTAAAAACTACATAAACAATATATTGTTTAGTGAAGACTGAAACTCTTATCAACACCTCACACATTTCCTGCTCGACCTCAAGCCATTTTTTTTTTTGCAATTGCCTTTTATTCTTTGCATTTTGTTTGTAATATTTAGTTTACATTTTACAGTCATCAATAAAAGGTTGGTTCTGCCTTACTACTGTCTACTGTTTATAGTCATGATTGATAATTTTCTGGACTGTCTGGTCCCCTCAAGGAAGGTTCCTTGATGTTGGTGAGGGGCTCTTGATTTAGGGAATTGGATCTGTGCTCCAGTTCCCCAAATTAAGCCTGAATGCCTTCCACATCCCCCCCCAGGCGCTGTATAATCCTCCGGGTTTAGCGCTTCCCCCTTGATTATAATAATAATAATAATGGACTGTCTGGCTTCGTATATTTATTTCAAGAACTTTCTCTATTCCCATTCTTCTTCAATACCTTTCTTTACACCATTCTTTATTGTCTTATATTCTTATTTGGAAGAAATCGTTTAATTCCATTTTTATATATATTATATAATGTTTCGTACACATTTTTGTCTCTCCCTTCCAAAATATTCTTAATTTAATTTCTCTCAAATACTGTATTAAATTATTGTAATTTTTCTCTTATAATCTAGTTGTTTCTCTTTTTGAATTTCTTTCTCATCTCCTAAGTTATATTTCACTATATAATTTATTTCCACCAGAACAGGATCACGTTGTGTGTGTGTGCGTGCGTGCGCCCTCATGTATGTGCGTGCGCCCTCATGTATGTGCGTGCGCCCTCATGTATGTGCGTGCGCCCTCATGTATGTGTATGTGCCCTAATGTGTGTGTATGTTCCTTCATGTGTGTGTGTGTGTGCCCTCATGTGTGTGTGTGTGTGTGCCCTCATGTGTGCGTGTGTTCCCTCATGTGTGTGTGTGTGTGTGCGCCCTCATGTATGTGCGTGTGCCCTCATGTATGTGCGTGCGCCCTCATGTATGTGTGTATGTGCCCTAATGTGTGTATGTGTTCCCTCATGTGTGTGTGTGTGTGTGTGTGCCCTCATGTGTGCGTGTGTTCCCTTGTGTGTGTGTGTGTGCGCCCTCATGTGTGTGTGCGTGCGTGCGCCCTCATGTGTGTGTGTGTGTGTGTGCGCCCTCATATATGTGAGTGCGCCCTCATGTGTGTGTATGTGCCCTCATGTGTGTGCGTGCGCCCTCATGTATGTGTGTGCGCGCCCTCATGTGTGTGTATGTGCCCTCATGTGTGTGTGTGCGCCCTCATGTGTGTGTTTGCGCCCTCATGTGTGTGTGTGTGTGTTCCCTCATGTGTGTGTGTGTGCCCTCATGTGTGTGCGTGCGTTCGCCCTCATGTGTGTGTGTGGGTGCATGCGCCCTCATGTGTGTGTGTGTGCGCCCTCATGCGTGTGTGTACGCCCTCGTGTGTGTGCGTGCGTGCGCCCTCATGTGTGTGTGTGTGTGTGCCCTCGTGTGTGTGTGTGTGTGTGTGTGTGTGTGTGCCCTCATGCGTGTGCGTGCGTGCGCCCTCATGTGTGTGTGTGTGTGCCCTCATGTGTGTGCGTGCGTGCGCCCTCATGTGTGTGTGTGCCCTCATGTGTGTGCGTGCGCCCTCATGTGTGTGTGCGCCCTCATGTGTGTGTGTGCGCCCTCATGTGTGTGTGTGTGCCCTCATGTGTGTGCGTGCGTGCGCCCTCATATGTGTGTGTGCCCTCATGTGTGTGTGTGCCCTCATGTGTGTGTGTGCGCCCTCATGTGTGTGTACTCACCTAGTACTCACCTAGTTGAGGTTGCGGGGGTCGAGTCCAAGCTCCTGGCCCCGCCTCTTCACTGATCGCTACTAGGTCACTCTCCCTGAGCCGTGAGCTTTATCATACCTCTGCTTAAAGCTATGTATGGATCCTGCCTCCACTACATCGCTTCCCAAACTGTTCCACTTACTGACTACTCTGTGGCTGAAGAAATACTTCCTAACATCCCTGTGATTCATCTGCGTCTTCAACTTCCAACTGTGTCCCCTTGTTACTGTGTCCAATCTCTGGAACATCCTGTCTTTGTGTGTGCCCTCATGTATGTGTGTGCTCCCTCATGTGTGCGTGTGCGCCCTCATGTGTGTGCGTGCGTGCGCCCTCATGTGTGTGTGTGTGTGTGTGTGTGTGCGCCCTCATGTGTGTGTGTGCGCCCTCATGTGTGTATGTGCCCTCATGTGTGTGCGTGTGCCTTCATGTATGTGTGTGCGCCCTCATGTGTGTATGTGCCCTCATGTGTGTGTACTCACCTAGTTGTACTCACCTAGTTGAGGTTGCAGGGGTCGAGTCCAAGCTCCTGGCCCCGCCTCTTCACTGGTCACTACTAGGTCACTCTCCCTGAACCATGAGCTTTATCGTACCTCTGCTTAAAGCTATGTATGGATCCTGCCTCCACTACATCGCTTCCCAAACTATTCCACTTCCTGACTACTCTGTGGCTGAAGAAATACTTCCTAACATCCCTTTGATTCATCTGTGTCTTCAGCTTCCAACTGTGTCCCCGTGTTGCTGCGCCCTCATGTGTGTGTGTGCGCCCTCATGTGTGTGTGTGCGCCCTCATGTGTGTGTGTGCGCCCTCATGTCTGTGTGTGTGTGCCCTCATGTGTGTGCGTGCATGCGCCCTCATGTGTGTGTGTGCGCCCTCATGTGTGTGTGTGTGCCCTCATGTGTGTGCGTGTGCCCTCATGTGTGTGTGCGCCCTCATGTGTGTGTGTGCCCTCGTGTGTGTGTGCGCCCTCATGTGTGTGTGTGCGCCCTCATGTGTGTGTGTGTGTGTGCCCTCATGTGTGTGCGTGCGTGCGCCCTCATATGTGTGTGTGTGCCCTCATGTGTGTGTGTGCCCTCATGTGTGTGTGTGCGCCTTCATGTGTGCGTGTGCGCCCTCATGTGTGTGTGTGTGTGCCCTCATGTGTGTGCGTGCGTGCGCCTTCATGTGTGTGTGTGTGCCCTAATGTGTGTGTGTGTGTGTGCCCTCATGTGTGTGTGTGCGCCCTCATGTGTGTGTGTGCGCCCTCATGCGTGTGTGTGCCCTCATGTGTGTGTGTGTGCCCTCATGTGTGTGTGTGCCCTCATGTGTGTGCGTGCGTGCGCCCTCATGTGTGTGTGTGCGCCCTCATGTGTGTGTGTGCACCCTCATGTGTATGTGTGCGCCCTCATGTGTGTGTGTGCCCTCATGTTTGTGTGTGTGCCCTCATGTGTGTGTGTGTGCCCTCATGTGTGTGTGTGTGCCCTCATGTGTGTGTGTGCGTGCGTGCGCCCTTATGTGTGTGTGTGCACCCTCATGTGTGTGTGTGCGCCCTCATGTGTGTGTGTGTGTGCCCTCATGTTTGTGTGTGTGCCCTCATGTGTGTGTGTGTGTGCCCTCATGTGTGTGTGCGTGCGTGCGCCCTTATGTGTGTGTGTGCGCCCTCATGTGTGTGTGTGCGCCCTCATGTGTGTGTGTGCGCGCCCTCATGTGTGTGTGTGTGTACTCACCTAGTTGAGGTTGCGGGGGTCGAGTCCGAGCTCCTGGTGTGCCCTCATGTGTGTGTGCGCTCTCGTGTGTGTATGTGCGCTCTCATGTGAGTGTACTCACCTATTTGTACTCACCTATTTGTGGTTGCAGGGGTCGAGTCACAGCTCCTGGCCCCGCCTCTTCGCTGATTGCTACTAGGTCCTCCCTCTCCCTGCCCCATGAGCTCTATCATACCTCGCCTTAAAATTATGTATGGTTCCCGCCTCCACTACGTCAC